TGGTCTGGAGCACTCACCCTGTTCCTGGTGGAGAACCAGCAGCGTCTCCCACCCATAAGTCTCTTGGCTGGTCCCCTCCCAAGACCCACAGAGGGGTCAGTGCAGCTGTCCTTAATCGATGCTCCAACTCACACCTGCTGCACAAGACACCCGCTGCTGTCCCGCCCCTGCCCCCGTGAGCAGGCAGTCTGCACGCATACCTTCGGGCAAAAGCAAAACCCCAGAGGAGTGCCTGAAGCTAGCAGGGGCCCCAACGGCGCCCCTCCAGGTCCCAAGGGCCGGGCCAAGTGGGCAGCACCCTGGAAGGGGCACTCTTTTCAGCAGCACACCCCATGACGCCGTCTCCAGGGGCCCCGAGTGTTGGGGTCCTGTGCCAAGGACAGGCCTGGCTGCCTCCTGAACACCCGGGTGGGGCCGACCCCCACAGGGGCTGACGTGGGCCTGGGGCTCAGGAGCCACAGGCTCTAACCAGCCCGCACCCCTGCGCCACTGGAGTCTTCCTCCGTCCCAGTGGAAGCTGCTCTGCCCTGCAATGTAGGGTCCTGACCCGGGGGGCCCAGTGCCACTTTTCCTCCGCCCTGACTCGGGCAAGCCTGGCATTTAGAAAGACGCTGCAGCCATTGCCAACAACCACTGCAGAGGCAGAGCAGAGAGAAAAGAAACCCCAGCAACGCCGCTCCATCTGGGCCTTGGCCATCCAATCCCACATCTCCCCTGTCACCCCCTTAGCAGCCTCAAGGCCAGGAAAATCAGCTCAGAAGGACCCGAGGACCCTCCGGCAGGGACCCACCCCAGGCTGGGGTGCAGCAAGCCGCTGCCCCTGCTGGCTGCCTCCTGACTTGCGGACGAGGGTCTCCCACTGGTTGAGCTGCTTGCCTCCTGCTGCCCACCTCCTCTGGAGACCAGCCAAGAAGAACAGGCGTGGGGTCACAGGCTGCTCTGGACACTATGGGGACACCCAAAACACTCCTGCCGCTTTGGCTGGTCCACGGCAGTGGCCAGAGGCAGTGGCCCAGGAAGGCACCCTGACCGCGCCAGCACTGGGCCTAAGCACAGTCCCTCAGTGGACAGCCTGGGCGGCGGGCCCACAAGATGGCTGTGCCCCCGTGACACTGGCTCTGGTCACTCAGAGAGGCCAGCGCCGGCCCCACCTGGCGCAGACCCCAGGGTGGGGAGGGAGGCTGCCCTGGCCCTGTCACATGGGAAGGAATCGTCAGCACTTCTGCTGCTCCACTCCACTGGCCGCCCACCTTGCCTCGCACTGTGGCCACGCAGCACCTGCCAGCAACGCCACTCCCACTGTCTTCCAGGGCAGTGGCCTTCGCAGACGCCAACATCTTCATCAGGTGGCAAAGGCCATCTGCTGATGCGCTGGCCAGGAGCCCAGACCTGGGGCCACTGGCGCTCAGGCTCCCAGCGCAGGCAGCAAATGCATCTGATCAAGGTGGCAGCAGGGGGACCCCACCTGGGCAGCTGCTGCTCCCCCATCCTCCACGCCCACCCAGGGGGAGAGCGCGGGTGAGCACCGTGCCCAGCAGGAGGCCCTCCCCAAGTGGGGTTACTTCTGCCCTCCACCCCGACCTCCCCTGAGCTCAGGCCTGCAAGGACCTTCTTGCCAATTACCCACTTGGCAAGAGCCTGACCCTGGGGGCTGGGAAGGGCCCTGAGGGTGGTTCCGGGGTGGCCCCCAGCCAGCCCGAGTGGGGCCTCCTGCCCTTGGGCTGTGCCTGACTTCTCACCATGCCAGCCTGTCTCCTGAGGCCACGCCCTGCACCGGTGCCCACATGCCTGTGGGGGAGCAGCAGGGCCCAGGCACCCCAGGGCATGACCAGGCTGCACACTGCATCCTGGGTGCTGTCGGCAGATGTTCTGTGCCTCAGTTTCCCCCGCACTGCCCAGGCAGGGTGAGAGGCAAACTAGAGGCTGCCCACAATCTTGATCTCCCCAAAGCCTTCCAGAAACAGCTGCTCCTGCCTGGTCCTCAACCCAGGCCACTCACTGTAGGTGGGGACCCCCCGCCAGTGGGGACAGGCGGAAGCTGTGACCCAGGGAGGTGCCGCTGTCGTCAGCTGTGTGGCTTTGGGAGGCCAGGCTCTCTGAGCTCCCCGAGCACTGGCCTTGCGGGGACCTGAGGGCCACACCTGTGGGCTCACTGGGGGGTGACTAGAGCCAGCGCTGGCTCCCACCCACGGGTGGGGCTGTGTGCAGTTAGTCACATGGGGTCTGGGCCTTGGTGGCAGGGACCCGGCTGGTGGGGTGGGGGCCCTGGGAGGCGGTGGAGTGTGCCCCCTGCCCTCAGCCCATGTCCCCCCAGCACTTCAGGGCAGCGTTGGCAAAGCAGTTCTGACGAGGCCCCCGGGGAAAGGGTGCCTGGCCGCAGTTCCGAGGTACATGGACCCTGGCCAGCCACACTCGGGCCCCTGAGTGTCACCCTGCCCTGGGGACTCCAGAGCCGCTTCAGGGCCACCACAGCACAGGTACCTGTTGCCTCTAATTGGGAGCTCATTAAAAGTTGGTGCAAGGACTCCCCCAAGGCCCAAGCAGAGCAGGAACAAGGACTCAATTAGTGCTCATTGCAGGGGCTGCCACATGTCTGGGAAAACACAGAGCGTCGCTTTCTGTTTTGCTAAATAGACTGTTTTTCCCAGTATAATGACCTTACAGGGATTTCAAAGATACAGAAGTAGAACAGGGCAGGCGCAGTGGCCTGTAGTCCCAGCACTCTGGAAGGCCGAGGTGGGAGGATTGCTTGAGGCCAGAGTTCAAGACCTCCCTGGGCAACACAGCAAGAACCTGTCTTTACAAAAAATAAGAGAAATTAGCCAGGCATGGCGGTGTGCACCTGTGGTCCCAGCTATTCAGGAGGTTGGGGCGGGAAGACTGCTTGAGCCCAGACGTTCAAGGCTGCAGTGAGCTGTGATCGTGTCACTGTACTTCAGCCTGGACAACAGAGTGAGACCCTGTCTCTAAAACAGGAAAAAAAAGAACAACAGTTTTTCAAAGCATGCTCACGTGTAAAGATTTGATATGCCACTCCTCCCCATTCCTTGGGTTTATTTTTCCCACGTCCACTCTTAGGGGTCATATTTCCGAACTCTTTTTCTTACTTATCACACACCAAGCATTTCCTACCTCTTGCAAGCTCACTGCAGTTACTCCCCGACCTGTGCTTCCAGAGGGGCCTGGGGTGTCTCCACTTGCCCCACACTGGACAGTCAGACATTCTGATTCTCTCCATTGTAATTCATGGTCTTACACACATGTGTTGACCAAAAGCCTTATCCATATTTCTTTTGCTCGCTGCAGCCTCCAACTCCTGGGCTCAGGTGATCCTCCCTCCTCAGCCTCCCAAGTAGCTGGGACTACAGGTGTGCGCCACCACGCCTGGCTTTTTTCCATATTTTTTATAATTCTCTTATGATAGATGAAGGGTGGTTTAAATCCACAATTTTCCACTGACTTAACCGCTTTGTGGCAATGAGGCCAAAGGGCCCATCCCGAGAAGGCGGCACCAGGCTCGGCCAGCACCCCGTCCTCGGCAGGCCACCCCTCTCGGAACCCCCCTTTCTCCACAAGATGTGGACAACGGTGTCTCCTGGCAGCCCCAGGAATCAAATCCGATGGTGCACGGTGGGGCCCTGAGGATCCGTTTATTCTCGTGACCAGTCACGAGAGGACAATGGAAGCTATTCAAACTATGCCAGAGGCCTTTTTTTTTTATTTTTGAGACAGAGTCTCACTCTTTTTGCCCGGGCTAGAGTGAGTGCCGTGGCATCAGCCTAGCTCACAGCAACCTCAAACTCCTGGGCTCAAGCGATCCTCCTGCCTCAGCCTCCCGAGTAGCTGGGACTACAGGCATGCGCCACCATGCCCGGCTAATTTTTTGTATATATTTTTTTTTTAGTTGGCCGATTAATTTCTTTCTAATTTTAGTAGAGGCGGGGTCTCGCTCTTGCTCAGGCTGGTCTCGAACTCCTGAGCTCAAACAATCCGCCCACCTCGGCCTCCCAGAGAGCTAGGATTACAGGCGTGAGCCACCGTGCCGGGCCCCAGAGGCTTTTTTTTAAAGACTTAAGATATAAACCCAGTCTCAGGCCACATGGGGCAACATCGAGCAGTTAAAATATGTATAACCAAAGTCCCAGAAAAAAAGAGAGAAAGAGAAAGGAGCTGGAAAAAAAATTGAGAAATAGTGACTGAAATTTCACCAAATTTGATGAAAACTGCAGACCCTCAGGCCCCACGAACTTCAAGGAGAATCAGCACGAGGAGACCACGGCGAGGTCCATCATGACCACCCTGCTGAAGACACGTGGCACATGGGAAACAGAGTGGTGGAGACGTCCTGCCACGGTGCAAGGACACAGTGGCGTTGCTAAGTGCTGGGGATGCCGCCCAGATCCCAGGTGTGGCAAAATGGC